TTTGTTTACAGTCTGAAATTGTGTGTATTTAATTATATTGTTGATTGATACTTTTGTTGGTTATTGTCCATTTGAATTATGAAAACCAATAAATATAATCTAAAAAAAAGGAACTGGCTCAATGAGGGTGTGTCACATTTCCTATATGGTCACAGCTATGGTCTAAGTAGTAGTAGCAGACATTTTATAATATTTATGAACATTTATGGCAATATCTACCATCTGTAATATATGTTGAAATATAAGAGGATTGATTTAATTTCAACAATTAAAGGTTCAGAGTGTTGAATTTAGTGACATCTAGTGGTGAAGTTGCATGTTACAGCTGAATACCCCACCACCTCACCCTCTCCTTCCAAACATGAAGGAGAACCTGTGGTAGTCTTCAGTCGTCATAAAAACTCAAAAGGTGTTTAGTTTGTCAAGTTTGGGCTACTGTAAAAAACATGACAGCCTCCGTAGAGAGGACCTCTGATGTCAATATAAAGTATGTAAATATGAAGGCCCATTCAATGGTAAAGAAATTAACAAGTCATACAATTGAGATGAAAAACACTAGTTAAAACATCACTAAGATTATTTTATATTACATTTCTGCCAATAGATCCCTGTCACTGTTCTCTGATCACTGAGGTGTGCTGACTGGACTAATGACAATATTATTTCTTTATTGAATCTCTATATATCTGCTCTGTCTTGAGTTTAACATGAACATAAACATTTGAACCATCAGGAATAAACATGCAACCAATAGAAGGATGTGATTATGGCCAGCATGCCATCAGCATGCATGTGGAAGAACCTGCATTTCAAAGAAAATATCAAGAAACCAAAAGATATTGTAAGGTGCAGTCAGTACGTCTCAAGTATGTAGCTCCTGAAGAACCAAAAGATGATTTTTTTTCTTTATCTTGTGCACACAGAGTTATCTGCGTCGTAAAGACATGAGTGGTGGATGCACAAGTTGCGTTTACAGTTTTTAAGAGTTTTTTTTATTTATCAAGTATTATGATTGAAACATAGTCCCTCTGTTGGCTGAGCCTGTTGTCCTTCAGTATGCAGCAAATGATTCCTGACAATCCTGTGTCTCTGTGCAAGAGCGCCAAGAATTTTATTGTATGACATTCCCAGGTGACAATAAAACTTTGCTAACTTGATTGAGTTTTCTCCAGGTGGTACAAATCTGATTAAGATAAACATCTTAAAATAAATATATGAAAATAACTTGTGCGCACACGAGAATAAGAAATGTATTTCTTAACAGTGGGTTTTAGTCAAATCTGCTGGTCTAAAGTTTACATAACACTGTTTGGAAAGGAGAACACAGGCGAATACCAGGTTATTCATTTACACTATTCCATTAATGGAAAGATCAAGTTTCTTAATATATGTAGGCAATATAGGAGAGTCTGTCTGTCTGTCTGTTTGTTGTTTTACTGGGATAGAAGCTATGTTTGCTAAATAGGCAATCAAATCCCTTTGGCTTTTATTTGGACTTTTTAAGAGCATCCACAGTGAACGGTAAGAGACATTTCTTGGTCCTTTACAATTGAAACTTACTATTTTTGATCCTGGTGTAGAATTTTCCAGGAAATAAAAAATTCTGCAAAGTTGTTTTCTAACTCTGGGAAGCAACCTTTGAAGGATACTGAGAAAGTACAGGCAATGTTGATATTGGCTTTTACACAAGTATGTACGTAGGTAAGGAGGAACCAACCCTAGGAGAACCCAGCCAATTCAAAAGTCTGCAGGCATACAGAAATGGCAATTTAGCAGCAGCATACAATACACAGTGATGATTTTTCCACAGCCAGAAATTAAATGCAAAGCACAAATATACCAACTTCTTTCATCATTGGTCAGGTGCATTCACAAAGAGCAGATCACTGTAATCCAGTAATGGCAAAAAAGACGAAGTTTGTCTTTGCCTGTATAGATAAAATGAGGTAAATTTAATATAGTTAAACAGCAAAAGTAACAGCTAAAATGGTTGTACATAACATGCAGGACATTTGCACATGGTATAGAAGGAATGGTGATACAATTACTGTAAATACGGCAGGTAGAGGACAAATTATCAGTCAATCAAATCTTATTTGAATAGCCCATATTCACAAATTCCAACTTGTCTCATAGGGCTTAACAAGGTGTGACATCCTCTGCCTTTAACCCTCAACAAATATACATAGAAGCCTCAGAGAGAGCCACATGTGAGGGATCCCTCTCCCTGTACAAACAGAAGTGCAATCAATGTTGTGTATAGCTGAACACATCATTATGTTACAATAAGCAGACGGTGTGAGATGATTGTTCTCACTGGACAACTGGACTGGAAACAGCTTTAAAATAAATGGACAGTGAGGAAGAATTCAAATTGAGGGTGGCAGTGATGCAACTTTGTGAATGTAACCTGCGGTTAACACCCAAAGAAGAGGACGTACATGATGAAGATGTTCCCACAAGTGTCCTTGGGCAATATACTGAACCCCAAATTGCCCCTGACAGATGGGCCTTCCCATAGAAAAAGTGCTGCCCGTATAAATGCACTGTGTGGATGTGTTTGAATGGTTGAATGGCAAAAAACTGTACTGTAAAGCACTTTGAATGGTCATCAAGACTAAGGGATAGGTGAATATTAAAAAAGTGATGTTACATCAGATGTGTTGCAGAAGTGGACCTCCACAGGCATCGTTGCAGCTGAACTGAATAGTTCCATGAGGCAGTACGAAGCTCAAAGCTTGGAAACCACGAACACCCCCTGAATTGACGACTAGAAAGCCTACACCTCAACAACACGTTTCGGTAACTTGCACAAGAATGCAGCCTGGGGGAGTCAGGGACTTGAACCATTAACCTCCTGGTTAGAGGACGACCTTCTCTACCTCTGGAGCAGTGCAGCATTCCAAGGTGATGCACTGCCCCACAAACACATTCAGAACAGTTGCAAGTACCTGGGTATCCCACAGGTGAATGAGCTCCATGATGAGGACGCATGGAGATCGGACACAGACAGTGCCAGCTCAGCGGTAAGAAAAAGAGACAAGCCATCGCTATGTACTAACAGCAGTCTTCAGATATCCAGCTGGCCACGGGAGGAGATATGTGCCACGGATATCAGACACAAAATGTCCTTAAAATGCATGGAGGGAGGGTTCCACCCAAAGTCTAGCACTTAGACAATGAACGAGCAAAGAAGAGATGGAGGGTGAGGACTAGTTAGTCTATTCTGTGCTTGTGTGGCTGAAAGTGATACAGGCTCAGACTTGGACAGCGTGTTAG